ATCCCATTTACCATTGCGGCAAAAAAATTAAGATACCTAGGAATAAACTTAACCAAAGAAATAAAGGACCTATTCGCAGAAAACTATAGGTCTTTGAAAAAAGAAATAGAGCAAGATGTAAAAAAGTGGAAGCACATACCCTGTTCATGGATTGGGAGAATTAACATCATTAAAACGTCCATATTACCCAAAGCAATCTATAGATTCATCGCAATCCCCATCAAAATACCAACGGCATACTTCACAGAATTAGAACAATTACTTCAAAAGTTCATATGGAACCAAAAAAGGCCTCGAATAGCCACAGCAATCTTGAAAAGGAAGAATAAAGTTGGAGGGATCACAATACCAGATTTCAGGTTATACTACAAAGCCACCATAATCAAAACAGCCTGGTACTGGCACAAGAACAGGTATATAGACCAGTGGAACAGAATAGAGAACCCAGAAATGGACCCAAGGTAATATGCTCAATTAATATTTGACAAAGTTGGGAAGAGCATGCAGTGGAGTGAGGACAGCCTCTTTAATAAATGGTGCTGGGAAAATTGGACAGCTACTTGCCGAAAAATGAAACTAGACCATCAACTTACACCCTACACCAAAATAAACTCAAAATGGATAAAAAACTTAAATGTAACTCATGAATCCATAAAAATCCTAGAGGAGACTGTGGGCAACAAAATCTCAGACATCCTACGCAGCAGAATTTTTACTGACACATCACCTAAGGCAATAGAAACAAAGGAGAAAATGAACACATGGGACTACATCAAACTCAAAAGCTTCTGCACAGCGAAAGATACAATCATCAAAACGGAAAGGCTACCCACTGTATGGGAGAGCATAATTGCCAATGATATATCAGATAAGGGGTTAATTTCCAATACATATAGAGTGCTCATACAACTCCACAAAAGGAAGACAAAGATTCCAATTAAAAAATGAGCAGAGGAACTAAATAGTCACCTCTCCAAACAGGACATACAAATGGCTAAGAGACATATGAAGAAATGTTCATCATCACTAATCATCAGAGAGATGCAAATCAAAACAACAATGAGGTATCACCTCACACCGGTCAGAATGGCTGCCATCAACAAATCATCAAACAACAAGTGTTGGCGAGAGTGTGGAGAAAAGGGGACTCTAGTACACTGCTGGTGGGAATGCAGACTGGTGCAGCCACTATGGAAAACAATATGGTGTTACCTCAAAACATTAAAAATTGAACTTCCCTTTGACCCAGTGTTCCCACTTCTAGGAATATACCCTAAGAAGCCTGAAACACCAATCAGAAAGAATATATGCACCCCCATGTTCACAGCAGCATTATTTACAATAGCTAAGATTGGAAACAGCCTACGTGTCCATCAGTAGATGAATGGATAAAAAAGCTGTGGTACATATACACAATAGAGTACTATGCAGCTCTAAGAAAGAAAGATCTCTCATTTTTTGAGACTACATGGAGGGATCTGGAAACTATTATCCTAAGCAAAACATGCCAAACAGAGAAAGACATGTATCATTATGATCTTACTTCTTTGTGGAATATAATGAACATAACAGTCTGATGAATGGGGTAGTCTCAGAGACGTGGATGTGGGGTACAGACTGACAGTCCCCAGAAGAGGGGGTGATGGGGGAGAGATAAACCTCACAACTTATATGCATGTATGCATGAACAATGGACATGGACAACAAACAGTGTCGGGAGGGACGGGGAGGTGGGAATCAGTGGGAGGAAAAGGAGAAACATCTGTAACAAAAATAAATTAATTAATTAAAAAAGAAAAATGAAGGCAGCAAAGTTAAAGTACTTCTCTTACCCTTTTATTGTGGCTTTGTTTTGTACTCCAAGGGGGTACTTCATTCTTACTTTCAGGTTCTGGTATTTTCAAAAAGGCATTCTTTTCTGTGAATAGTTGCTAATTCGTATTTTTGTGATTAGGTATTCGAGCCAGTATGTTCTATTCCACCATCTAGCTGATCTTAGTCACACTCTTTACTTCTTTGGAAGAGAGATAAAAAGACACAAATTGAGGAAAAGAAGGATATAAAAGGAGTGCATTGAATAAAGTATATTCAATTATTTAAACAAATGAATATTTATAATTTTTTATCCACACCTGAGGACATTTTCCGTTTTTTTTGTTGAGATAGAGTGGGAGGGAGAAAGTGGAAGAGAGAGAGAGAGAGAGGGGGGGGGGGGGGGGGGGGAGAGGAGAGAGAGAGAGAGAGAGAGAGAGAGAGAGAGAGAGAGAGAGAGAGAGAAACATAGACATTAAGGGGACACATCAAGTGGTTGCCACCCGCACGACCAACCAGGGCCAGGGACAAACTGCAACTGAGGTACACGCCTTTAGCGGAAACCAAACCCGGGTCTCTCTGGACCACAGGTTGATGCTCTAATTGCTGAGTCAAACCAGCCACGGCTAAAACAAATGAATAATTTGATAAGATTTTGCCAAACCCACTTGTTTTGCCTTTCATATCTACAGAATATAACATATTTATTAAGAATATTTATTATGTATGTTTTTATATAAAATATTTTAGATGATGAGTTATCAATCACTAGACAGTATAGGAGTGTGAGACTAAGATGGGGAAAGGGAAAAATTTCCTAATAATAGTTCAACTGTTATGAAAAATAAATCCTCAATGCCTTCTCAGTGGAGAAAGAGAGTGAAGGGAACGACAGGGATAAAATTAATAGAAGGGGACACAGACAGAAAAGAGTTTGAGAGGGAGAGAGAGTGGGAGGTGGTGTGAAACAACAACAAAAATAGATTGAAAAAGAAACAGAGAGATAGAAAAGAAAGAAGCTCCAACGTTATAATGAACAAATTCCACAATTTTATGAGAATTCTATGCTAAATTAAAAATAAGCCTTATATTTTTCATGTTCACATAAACAAGGTAGATTGTGAACACACACACAATATGTATTATATATTGAACTTTGGATAATCAGATGGTATTTCCTTGGGTAGGAAAAGTGGGAAACTGCCTCATTTGGGAGACTTGCCAAAACCAAATGTGGGTACAGGGAGAGAGGTGAAAAATAAGAATCTCTGACAAGAAAGATTATAGAGCAGTAAGATTGAATGGATCTTTGGGGACCATTTAGGGGAATTTGGCATTTACTCTGTGAAAGATGAGAGTCTTGAACAAAAGAAAGGCCAAATCTGACTTATGTGTTAATACAATCATTTTAGCTACTATGCAAAGAATTCATCAACTAGAGCAAGAACAGTTATATAGCTTTTACAGTACTCTAGTAGTTTAAATGAGAGTGATAGTGGTAGAGGCAGTGAGAAATGGTCAAATTATGGATGTACAGTATTCAGAGAAAGAACTGTCAAGGTTTGTTGATTGTGTGTGTGTGTGTGCATGCACACACATGAAGGCATATACAAAGGAGGGAGGTCAAGGAAGGGAGAGAGAGAAAAAGAAGTCAATGATGATGGTAAATTTTTGGAAGAATTTTATTTTGGCCGGTGCTCCTGATAGCTACCATTTACTGAGATGGGAAAAATCTGTTGGAGGAGCCAGTAGGAGGGAGTAGAAGATGAAGGCAGTAAAAGCTACAGCTTGGACATCTTAGGTCAGGATATCTATTAGATCCCCAAGAGGTGATGTTTAATCAGTAATCTGATACACAGGTCTAGAGTAGTGTAGGGAACCCTAGGTCTCTGTATCAAAGCACCACAAACTGGGTGGCTGAAAACAATAGAAATTTATTGTCTCTCAGTTTTGGAGGCTAGAAGTCTGAAACAAGGTGTTGGCAGTATTGGTTCTTTTTGGAGGTTCGGAGGGAAAATATGTTCTGTGCCTTTGTCTCCTAGTTTCTGAAGGTCTATGGAAATCTTTTGCATTCCCTGGCTAATGGATATATCACTCCAATCTCTGGGTTAGAACTTTACCCTACCTTTGCAGGAGACACAATTCAACCTATAACAAATAGGAAGCCCCGTCAGAAGATATACACTGGGGATTTATCAGAGTTTAAGGTATTATTTAAAGACACAGACTGAGAATGCAAAGGCAGTGAGTGAGACAGAAAAGAGTATAATTCCTGACATCCTCAAGTGCTTAGAAATTTAAAGGAAACTGGAGAGGTAATGAGGTAGGAGGGAAACCAGAGGAGCATCATGGCCTAGAAATGTGATGAAGAGAGTCATTCCAGGAAGATAGAATGTTTAACTCTGTAAAATGTTTCTAACAAAAAAGTGATAATTAACCACTGAATTTAACAGCAAGGGTTAATAATTAGTATCTTCCTTACAGGATTGTTGGGAGGGTATAAAGTAAATACTACAAAAACATTCAAAGTTTTATGGCACATAGTAACATCTTAATAAATGTTCACTCTTATTTTGGAGTGGGGTGCTGTAGGCCAACCTACATTCTGCTATGTGAACTTTTGGTTGTAACCTAATAAATACATTTGAGCAGTAGAGCATAGTGGTTAGAAAGTATAAACCGTGGAACCAACTCATCAGACCTTGATTTTTGGTCCCACTACTTACTAGCTGGGTAACCTTGTGGAAGTTGCTCAATCTGTCTTTACTTCAGTTTATTGTATCAAATGAAGATAACAATAGTGCCTACTTCATAGGATTGTTGTAAAGATTAAGTATTCTAAGGATGTGAAAGTTCCAGAAGAGTGCCAATCACATACCAAATGCTGTAGAAAATATTATTTTTATTAAATTTATGTAAACAAGGACACTAATTTATTTGAATGACTTTGTATCAGAATTTCTCTAAGAAAGCTGTGTTGGTACACTGTTAGTATATATTTTCACCACTGCCCCCCCCCAAAAAAAAACCCTCATTATTTCATAAGATCTGATTTCTTAGACTTGGGTGATGCTGGGATATTTTATTTTGAATATAAGGTTAAGAAGCTTTGTGAACTGAATTGGAACCCGCCTCAATCCAACAATGTTTCTTTGGCTACATACTACCTAATTTTACTCTCTTTGCAGGAGAATATGTTGTCATGACAACCCACTTTCATCTCAAGCGAAAAATTGGCTACTTTGTGATTCAGACCTACTTGCCATGTATCATGACTGTCATCCTGTCACAAGTGTCTTTCTGGCTTAACAGAGAGTCTGTCCCTGCCCGCACAGTCTTTGGTAAGTGTTGTTTTATAGAAAATGAGGGGGGAGACATTTCCAAAATCTCATGATAGTCACTCAGAGTAGGCATAAGGAGGCAGAGGAACCATTACTGGAGATAATGGGAGCAACACCTTAGCCCAGCATTAGTAACTGAGTCATTGGATCCTGGTATTTCAGGTAACTGGATTCTTAACAAGGAAGTAGGAATAAGAAGAGTTTTGAAGTAGTAAGGTTACTGAGATTCTGTCTCAGTCAGGTTTTCTCCAGAATCTGGGGAGGGTTGGAAAGTTCAGTGAAAAAGAAGAAATTAATGGACAGAATTAAAGAAGGTGAAGGGTGGGAAACTAAGCTGACAACAGATAGGTGGATTGGGAGCATTTTTATAACCCATTTTTTGTATGCACATGTAACTTTGCTGCTTCTCCTCTAGCCTTTTTGAAAGCATAAATTATCTGATATTTAGTAAAGACTACACAGAGTTTGAAGGGTTTTTCCGTAGTACCTATAATCTGATACATTTTCTTGAATATGAATTTCCTGCTGTCTAGGGAAAGACTTGCATATCATTAACACTTTCCTAGGGAGGCTTACAGCATATGAAATATTTTCTGTCTGTTTTCCCCACTGTGAGATTTTTTAGGAGATAAATATTAATTACCTATTTTAGTCTACTAAACTGCCTCCATGGTATGGTGGCTGTGAGTCATATACTTGGATGTGCTGCATACTCACACAGAAGGCCAATACTTCTTGCCAATATCCTAAAGCTATACAGTGTAGTTAAATAATAAATTATATTTCAGAAAGAAGCAGCATTTTAGGTTGGGTAGAGGAGAAGATAGCAATGGAGAAAGAGAAAGAGTAACCCACAAATTAGAAAAAGTAAAGTGGAAGGATTGATATTGTGGAAGTCAAGAGAGAAAAAGCATTTCAAGAAGCAGGGAATAATCATCTGTGGTGAATTCTGCTGTGTGTTTAGGTAAGATGCAAATAGAAAGTGTCTATTGGGTATGGTGATATGCTTGGTTGTTAGTGATTTGGAAAGAACAGTTCTAGTGAAGTGGAGAGAACAGAAATCTATATAGGAGTAGATTAACAATGGTCATTTTTGAAAATATACCAAACTAAATCCCCTGAAAAATTGTTCTGTACAAAATCCTAGAAAAGCTAGCTAAAACATAGAAAACATATATATTTTTAAATATCTGAGCTCATAATAAATTAAAGGAAATACTCAGGGACACATATATTATAAGGAACTGAAAATTAGAGTATTAATCACATGAGCTGATACTGTTGTAGCAGAAAGATGTGTTGATGGACTACTAGTTTTAGTAAGTAAGAGTATGAGTTTTAAGGTTACAAAAAAAAAAAAAAAAAAAAAGGCTTTGAGCCTGAGTGAAGTTAAACATTAGAATTAGGATTGTGTTAGGCTGAATAATGATCCCCAAAGTTATTCAAGTCCTAATACTTGGATCCTGTGAGTATTAACTTATGTGGCAAAACAGACTGTAAATTTGAGCTAAATTAAGGATATTATGATGGGGATATTATCCTGTATTATCCAGATGGACTCTAAACACAATCACAATGCACCATATCAATTTACACTATACACAAGAATCAATTTACACTATACACAAGAATAAAATCAAAATGGATAAAAGACTTAAATGTAAGTTGTAAACCATAAAAATCCTAGAAGAAAACATAGGCAGCAAAATTGTAGACATCTCACATAGCAGAATTTTCATGGATACATCACCTAGGGCAAGAGAAACAAAGGAGAAAAAAAAACAAATAGGATTATATCAAACTAAAAAATCTGCACAGCAAAAGAAACCAGCATCAAAATGAAGAGGAAACCCACTGTTTGGGAGAACATTTTTACCAATGATACATTTGATAAGGGGTAAATTTCAAAAATATATAAAGTACTCATACAGCTCAATAAAAGGAAGACAAACAATCCAATTAAAAACGGGCAGAGGCCTACATAGATACTTCTCCAAACAGGACATACAAATGGTCAAAAGACATATGAAAAAATTCTCGAAGTCACTAATCATCAGAGAGATGCAAATTGAAATGACAATGAGGTACCACCTCACACCAACCAGCATGGCTACCATTAATAAATCAATAAACAAGTGCTGACAAGGATGTAGAGAAAAGGGAACCCTACTACACTAATGGTAGGATTGCCTACTGGTACAGCCACTATGGAAAACAATATGGATTTTCCTCAAAAACTTAAAAATTGATCTTCCAATTTACCCAGTAATCCCACTCCTAGGAATATATCCTAAGATGTCTAAAACATCAATCAGAAAAAATATATGTACCCCCTATATTTATAGCAGCACTATTCAAAACAGTTAAGATCTGGAAACCCAATTGCCCATCAGTAGATGAGTAGATTAAAAAGCTGTGGTACATATATACAATGAAATACTATGCAGTTGTGAAAAAGAAGGATCTATTACCCTTTGAGACAGCTTGCAGGGACCTGGAGAGTATTATGCTAAGCGAAATAAGCCAGTCAGAGAAAGGCAAGTATCACATGATCTCACTTATATATGGACTCTAATGAACAAAATAAACTGATAAATAAAATAGAACTAGAGGCATGGAAACATGGAACAGAGTGACAAACCTCAGAGGAAAGGGGAGTAAAGGGGGAGGGAAGAGTTTAACCAAGGAACTTACATACAACTATGCATAACCCACGGACACAGACAATAGAATGCTGAAGGCCTGGGGTCGTATAGGAGCTGGGAGAAGGGGGACATCTGTAATACTCTCTACAATAAATATTTAATTTAAAAAAGAGTAATCAGGAGGATACTTGACTACAGAGCAGAAGGCAATGCAATGAAGGAAACAAGAGAGATTTGAAGATACTATGTGATTGGAGGAAGGGACCTATGAGCGAAGTAGTGCTGCTTTAGAAACTAGAAAAAGCAATACATTCTCCCTCTAGAACCTCCAAAGGGAGCGAAGCCCTGATGAGACTTTGACTTTAACCCAGTAAAACTGACTTTTGACCTCCAGAACTGGAGGAGGATATATCTATGTTGTTTTAAGCTACTACATTTGTGGTAACTAGTTAACAGCAGCCATAAGAAACAAAAACAAGAATTCATCCCATAAATCTAATGCTATTAAAGGGTCATGCCCTCAATGCAAAAGAGCACTAGAAAAATATAGTAATCAGTGCAGGGAGAAAATAAGGGAGCATGTCTGTTTTGGCCTGGGCCGTGTAAAATATTGGATTCCTTAAAATTTAATTAAGTCAAATGTGGCCTCATGTGAATTTAGAGTTCATATTTATACTAACTATTGATATAAACCTCTAAGATAAAATATTAATTTAAAAAGTGATTGCAGAATTTTTATGTAAGAAAAAAGAGCCAAGAATAGCCAATAACCTCCTACAAAAGAAGAACAGAATGCAGGGATTTGCCCTGCAAAATGTCAAAAATTATTAAAAAGCTATAGCTATTAAGACAATGTGTTACTGGCACAAGGTAAAAGAAAAATAAATAAATGAAATGCCATAGAGAGAGTATAAACAGAGACATATATATGAAAACTTGATTTATGACAGCGATGGCATTGCAGAGAATTAATTTGAGATTGCTCATGGTCTTAAATATAAAAGCTAAAAATACAATGCTCTTAGAACTAAATATAAGTCAATATATTTGCAAACTTTGGAAAGTAAAAATTCCTTAATGCATAAAAAAAGTAATAACAATGAAGAAAAAAGAGTAAATTGGACTTCATCAAAATTATAAGTTTCCACTAATTAAAGCATAACATTAAGAAAATGAAAAGGTAAACCACAGACTGAGAGACTATATTTTATATGTATACAGATCTGACAAAGCATCTATTCCACAAATGTAAAGTGCTCCTTCAATTAAAGAATAAAATACAAATAATCCAGTTTTGAACATTGAAAAAAGACATGAATAGACACTTCAATAAGAAAATATATAAATTCCCATAAACATATGAAAAGATAGTTAATGTCATTTTATATCAGGGAAATGCAAAGTAAAACCTTGTGGAGACATTACTTTATAAACACTGAATGGCCAAAATTACTAAGACTGACGATTCCAAATATTTGTGAGGTCACGGAGCAATTAGAACTCTAATACACTGTGGGTGAGGATGTAAAATGGTACAACTCCTTAGAAAAAACAGTGTGGGTATTTCTCATAAAGTAAAAAGTACATTTACCCTAAAATGTAGGTATTTCACTCCTAGGTATATACCCAAGTGAAATGAAAATATATATCCATAAAATGCTTATACAAGAATGTTTATAACTGCTTTATTTCTAAAAGTCACAAATCAGAAAATATCCAAATGTACATCTACAAATGAATGGGTGAATATATTTTAGAGTATTCATACAATGGAGTAATGACTATTGATTCACATAATAATATAGATGAATATGAAGAATTATGTCAGACTAAGAAGCCAGACACTAAATAGTACAAAATATGTTATTTTATTTATAAAAAAAATTCTAAACAGGCAAAACTAAGATATGGTGTTAGAAAGCAAAGCAGAGCTTCCTTCTGGAGTGGTGGGTTGACTGAAATGGATATAAGGGAACTTGCTAATATGGTACAGTATTCTGTATCTTATTGAGTAATGGTTATACAGTTGTATACATTTACCCTAACACTTTGAAATGTACAAACTATTTCTTTTATTTTTTTTTTATTCATTGATTTTTAGAGAGAGAGGAAGGGAGAGGGAGAGAGATATAGAAACATCGATGAGAGAGAACATCGATTGGCCACCTCCTGCACGCCCCCAACTGGGGATTGGGCCCACAACCTAGGCATGTTCCCTGACCAGGAATCGAACCAGCAACCTCTTGGTGCATGGGTCAATGCTCAACCACTGAGCCACATCAGCTTGGCATGAAATGTACAAACTATTTTTATTGTATATAAAGTATAATCCAATTTAAAATACAAATGTACTGGGACTATAGGTATTTGGAATATTCAAACTTTCAAGTAGCTATGATGACTATGTTTAAGTAGATGAAAGAAACATGAGAATTCCATCATATAAATGGTGTGTGGGGTTGAGCATGCATAAGAAAGCAAAGACATTGGAAATGCTATAACTGGAAAAAGATAAAACTCAGTGGTTTAGGTACTGTTGAAGTGAGAACCCATGAACTGGAAGATAATATCTAGAAGAAGGCCCAGAAAGTCAAAAATGTGTAAAATACATAAGAGAGAGAAACTGTATGTGATTTATTGAGAAAGTCTAACATAGAATAATTGGAAACTCAGATATGAGAAAATAGTACAGAAGAGATAATGGCTGACTGCTGTCCAGGTCTGATGAAAGACATAAAGGCACAATTACATAAAGCCCTATGAACCTTAGTATGATAAATTAGAAGACAGACAAACAGACACTTTATAGTGAATTTTATAAAAACAAAACCAAAGAGAAAAATCTTAAAAATAGCCTGGGGAAAAAGAGTACATTGCCTTTAAAGTCATAATAAATAGATTATCAGCTGACTTCAACAGAAACAATAAAGACACTTTCAGAGCAAAAACATCAAACACTAAAAATGCATTGTCATCTAATCCTCACTAAAAGGAGATCTTCAAACAAAAGGAAAATTAGTTCAGTAGGAAGGTTTAAGATGCATCTTAAAAGCGTGAAAGTAATAAATATATGGGTAATACTAAATGACTGTTGAATGTATTACACCCAGCCAGTATGACTTAGTGGTTGAACATCTACCGGTGCACTAAGAGGTCGCAGATTGAATTTACTATCAGGACACATGCCACGGTTGCAGGCTCAATCCCGAGTAAGGTATGTGCAGGAGGCAGCCAATCAATGTTTTTCTCTGATTAATATTTCTATCTCTCTCTCCCTCTTCCTTCCTCTCTCTTTAACAATCAATAAAAACATATTTAAAAAATAAATGACTATTGAATGTATTAAATTATAACAGTGGCTTATTGGATATACAATATATTTAGAATAAAAGATTAGACTATAATATAATCTATATAAGTTGAGATAAGGACACAAAGATAAAATATTCTAAGGGCTTTCATTGTCAGAGAAATGTGTAAAAGTACCAATTGATATTTAATTTTTATAAGTCAAAGATGCATGCTGACTAAAACTTTCATACATCTAATGGGAATGTTTAAAAAACCATTTGGCAGTCTCATATAAAGTTAAACATATGCTTATTATATAATTATGCAGTTCCATCCCTAGGTGTTCACCAAGTGAAATGAAAGCATATGCTAACAAAGACTGGTATGTAAATCTTCCCAGAAGCTTAATCAAAATAGTTGAACTCCGGAAACAGTCCAGATGTCCATTAATGGATGAATAAACATAACAATAGGATAAACATACAATGGAATACTATTCTGAAAGGAACAGGAATGAACTAAAGATAGATGCAACCACATGAAAGAACATAAAAGATATTATGCTGAGTGGAGAAAGCAAGACACAAATGAATACATACTGTATGATATTTATATGAAATGCTGGGGGAGGGGGATCTAGTCCATAGTGAAAAAGCAGATCAGGGCATTAAAAAAGAATGAGGTGATTACCTGGGGCCAAGGAGGGGCTGAAATGGTCTGAAAGGTACTTGTGAGGTAATGGAAGTATTCTATAGATGATACTTATGAGAGAGGGTATAGGGATAAATGGTGATGGAAGAAGACTTGACTTGGGATGATGAACACACAATACAGTGTGGAATTGAGCACCTGAAACCTGTAAAATTTTGTTAACCAGTGCCACCCCAAAAAAATTTAGAAGAAGGTTTATGAAGCACAAAAAAATGAAAAGGAAAAAAAGAGGGAGATATCACCAGATAGCAGAAATATCACAGGAACACAGATTACCACATGATTATGATCATTTGTAATGAACTAAGAAGTAATAGAGATCAAGGAAACTATGGACCCTTACCACTCGAGCTCTTGATTCTGAATGATCAGCCACCTTTTGAGAAACAAAATGGTATATACAATAGAGAGTCAGGTTTCAGTTAAGAGCAAAAGAGGAATATGCATTCAAAGAATAGTTTGAAATGATAGGTGAATTTGCATGTCATAGAGCAGCAGAGTTGGGAAGTTAGAAGAGTTTAGGAGAAAAGTGTTTTAGAGAAGGAATGGGGCACTGAGTCATATTTAGTAATGTACTTTGTAAAACAGATTAAATCTGATTGACAGTGAACTAACAAAAAGGCTTGCCCTCGTGGTGGTATCTGAGCTCAACAGGTTTATGAAGCACGGAATTTTGATTATCTCCTAGGGTGAGTGAGTAATCATTTTAAATGCTCTAGTCTGAAATGTTTTAATTTTTGTGTCCCTAGGACTTTGCAAGACACAGAATAGACATTTAATGTTGGGGAAAAGAGACTAAGAACTATATTATTGATAATAACATAGTTACAATTATAAAGTACATTATTCACTCTGATGGGAGAAAATGTGGTGTAGTCCACAGGCTGTAGGCTGGGCAAAGCAGTTCCACTTATTACACATGCACTAGGGGCCTACTCTGTTGTGTTCAGGGTTGAGGAAATAGAGACATTACCCATGGTCCCTGCTGTTACATAACTCCTGGTTTGGTGTACAGTTGTCCCTTGCCACTTCACGCTTTGATGTTCGTCGCTTCACTCTATCGCGGTTTTTCAAATATAAAGAAAAAACCGCGATAGAGTGAAGACGTAAACGTCGAAGCGCGAAGTGGTGAGGGACGACTGTACTAGACTTTTAGAAGTGCTGAAAGGAAGTGAGGCAGAGCAGTCACAAAATACTTTCTAGAAGAGTCTTCAAATACAAGCACTGGGTGGCAGGCCTGGATCTCTTTTGAAATGCCAAACCTCTTTGACCATCCATGAAGTATACCAAATGCTTTACTGAGGATGCTACCAGCTTGGAGTAGCTAAGAGCTCTTCAGAAGATGACAGTTCTAATTAAGCCCTAGAGGCTAAAGCTCTAAAAGTCTCTACTAAGATATGGCACAGAAGCACTTGTGTTTCAGTGTTGTTCTCTTCACCCATGCATTGGCATAGTGTCGTGAATGTGCCAAGGGTGGACAACTGCATATGGTGATAACCATAAATGATGTAACTTGTTTCTCCCATGAATTACTTCTTGCTTGGTGTGATCAGTGGGTCACTGAATCTTGGGTCCATTCTCAGAGCTTATAAGGCTGAAAATTCAGATAGTTTGTTAATAATTATCAGCTATGTGACTGATTCTTGAAAAGACGGCTCTCTGCCAAATTTGTTCAGAGCTGTTACTTTAGGGCATCTCTGTTAAAACTGTACTGTCTTTGCTAGTTTGGATTTTTATTTATGTAGCAAGTGTATTAGTAAGGTACTCAGGGAGGGAAGATATGAGAGGAAGTCCCAGAGGCTGTAGCATGCATGGCTGACTCTCTGTGTGGAGGTGCTAGTTAATAGGCCTTATATGCTTGCTTTTTTATATAACATATTTCACCACATTAAGACTTCCTTCCATGCCCTATTTAATCTAGCTCAAGAAGCTCACATTCCCATCCTCTTGAGCATGCCAACACTCAGAGATTCTGACTATTCCTTCTTCCCTAAGTCTGGATGATTTTGGGCACAGCAACTGCCTTGTCACCATTCTGGGGAATCAAGACTGTAGGGAATATTCAGATGAGGAGAATGAAGGTACAGAGAAATTTTAAAAAATTGACCAAGGTAAAAAGCAAGTAAGTGACAGAACTCAGAACTTCTAACTTCTAGTGTAGGTATTTGAAACCAGAATACTATAATAACAGTAAAATTAAGGGTGATGTTAATTATACAAGCAACTATTTATTGAGTGATTACCATATGCCAGATATTTGCTATGGGATTTGTAAACATCGTATCACTGGATCCCCCACAAATCTCAGAATCTGGTATCATCACACACATTTTACACATGATAAAACTAAAGCTGAGTGGGTAAAACACCTTGTTCAAGGTAATATTTCTAGTAAGTGGGATTGCCAGATTTCCAGTCCATTTCATTCTGACTCTAAATTTCATATTAACTAGAACACTATAGGGCTCAAATGTATAGCTAAAATTTGAACAGATTAGAAAAAATAAATAGAATTTAAAAGTGAATAAAGGAAAGTTTAATTTAGGTTAATACTACCACCAAGAAAAAGAATCAATTAATCTAAAAGCAAGTTCTGGTTTGGCAAAAACTTATAAGAAATAAATATTGGAATAGCTTTGATTGTCCATGAGATTTAATAGGACCTAAACTGTGATGCAAGTAAAGAACCATTTTCCACAATAGTTTGTTGCATTATAAGAATAGTATCCACAGTAATGGAGGTGAATATCCTACTGACCTCAGACCATGTCTTTAGTCTTGGGCTCAGTTCTGAGCTTTTTAGAAGAGAATTGCCAGGATGAGAGAGTGGGAGAAACAAGAGAAGGAACTAGCCATGTTCATTTCTGAAATAAACAGATTTACGAGGAACCATAGTGACCCTCTGCAAGTCTTTAAAGGCCTGTCCTGGAGAGAAGTGAACAGGCTTCTCTTTCCTGTGTTGCCAGAGAAAGAACTCTGATTTCAGTCAGTGGACTAGGAGATAGAGAAAGGCAGGTTCAGCTCATAAGGTAAGTTTTCTCTAAAATGCTCACTTACAAAAATATGTTACCTACTTTTCAAAGAAAATGTTTAAGCAGAGGCTAGAGGACAACTTTTAGAAATGTTGTACTGGAGATCCCTATTACTGTGAGAATTGGGATGGGGTGGTTACTAGGTAGAACCATCCTGCGTTGACATTCTCTGTTTTTGTTTTTGTTTTTTCACTTTAAAGGGGCTGTTTGAGTGCGGTAAAGATTCTCCTTTTAAGTAGGTGATCTTATCAAATATGCTCTAAATGTCTTTGAGTGGCAACTGGGTTCTTATCTTCTCTCTCCCCAGGTGTCACCACTGTTCTCACCATGACCACCCTGAGTATCAGTGCCAGAAACTCCTTACCTAAAGTGGCATACGCGACGGCCATGGATTGGTTCATAGCCGTCTGTTATGCCTTTGTATTTTCTGCACTGATTGAATTTGCCACTGTCAACTACTTCACCAAGCGGAGTTGGGCTTGGGAAGGCAAGAAGGTGCCAGAGGCCCCAGAGATGAAGGTGAGATACAGCAAGGGCAGGGGCTGGGAAGCACTCCCTGAGAGAACAGTATTGGAACCAGGAGTGGGCAGCCTACAGCCTATGGGAACTGGCCAGGGCTGTGTGCTATTCACTGGGGTCATCAATCCAGTTCTTAACTGGAGTGCTTCTTGGCAATGTGGAGTGTTTGGTGGGGGCAAAGAAAAGAGGGTAGGTATCATAGATGGTTGATGTCTTCTGGTAAGGGACAAAACATAAGTGTGATACTGGTAGACTCAAGGGGAGCCTTTCGTATTTAGAAAGTCAACCAGAAGAGTGGGCTCTATTTTCAAGCCAGAAAACAATCTCTAGGGCTACCTTTGTTCCTCACTTTCCAGTATGTTCCCATTACAGACAAACCAAAGTGATCATTACTCCTGTGTCTTTGCTTGTTTTTTTTTCCCTCTGTATCTGAAATATTTTTTTTTTTTCCTGACTGGTGAAGATCTACTCATTCTTCAAGACCCAGAGAAAATACTGTTTTCTTCATAGACCCTTTTCCTGAATCATTAAGATGGCCTTAGCTTTTCTTGGATTGAGGTGGGGTAGGGAGATTGCTTTTGATATTAAAAGCATATTTGTATTAGAGTTATTTGCCTCCTCCATTAACTGAACTTCTTGAAAGCAGAGGCGTGTCTGCATCATCTTTCTAACTTTCCAGCATCCTTGTACAGCATTTGACTCATAGTAAAACTGAACAAATGTTACTTGGGTTGGTGGACAAATGGGAAGAAAGAAAAAAGGGAGAGCCAAGCCATTGTGGCTCGGTGGTTGAGTGTCAACCCATGCACCAAGAGGTCATTGGTTCAATTGCCAGTCAGGATATATGCCCAGGTTGTGGGCCTGATCCCCAGTGGGCAGCATGCAGGGGGAAAGCCAATCGATGTTCCTATTATTTCATCAATGTTTCTATTTCTCTCTTCATCTCCCTTCCTCTCTCTAAAATCAATAAAGAAAAAAAATTTTTTTAAATGGGAGAGATTAAAAAACACACAATAAACTAACTTGAATTTGATAGGAATAAAACATTAATGCAGTAAAATCAAGTTTTTTGTCCTTGTCTGATTTAGGAGTTCAGATCTCCAGATGTAGGTGAAGACTATCCAAAGACACTAACAAAAACCTGGCAGATGTGGTTACAGAATTATTCCAGTACTCTTTGAACAATCATGGAGAAGAGAAAAGATAATTAAGATATTTTTTTCAAATTGGAGGGGGAAAAATATATATATATATATTTTATATATATATAAAGGGTATATATATATACCCTTTATATTGTCTCAAAGGGTAAGAGATCTTTCTTCCTTATAGCTGCATAGTATCCCATTGTATATATGTACCACAAATTTTTTTTGTGTGTGTGACTTTTTTTTTTTTTTTTATCCTCACCCGAGGATATTTTTCCATTTTTTGTACAGATAGAGTGGGAGGGAGAGAGAGGAAGGGAGAGAGAGAGAGAAACATCGATGTGAAGGGACACATCGAGTGGCTGCCACCCACACGACCAACTAGGGCCAGGGACAAACTGCAACCGAAGTACGTGCCCTTAGCGGGAACCGAACTCGGGTCTCTCTGTACCGCAGGCCGACGCTCTAACCACTGAGCCAAACTGGCCAGGGCTGTACCACAAATTTTTTATCCACTCATCTACATCTACATCTACATCTACACATACACATACACATACACATACACATACACATACACATACACATACACATATACATATACATATACATATACATATACATATACATATACCATAGAATACAGATTAGTGAGTTGGCAAAATTTTAAAACAGATTTTAAGTTTATTTACATATAATTTATTAACTTCTTTCTATAAATTATGAAGAGATAAACATGTTTGTACATCCTCCATCTACTCTAACATAGAATTTTTTTGTTTGGTTTCATTATCACAATTAGTCTAGTTGTTACCTTTGTGTCCTTAAAATATTTATCAATCTAATACTTGATTTATCAGCTATGAACAGCGTCTACTGACCCCTCACTCACTACAAGATTTAAAAAATTAGTATAGTTATCCTAACTTTTTTTTTATCCTCACCTGAGGACATTTTTGCATTTATCTTCAGATAGAGTGGGAGGGAGAGAGGGAGGAAGAGAGAGAGGGAAACATCAATGTGAGAGATACACATTAACTGGCTGTCACCCACACGACCTCAATTGGGACCAGGGACAAACTGCAACTGAGGTACGTGCCCTTAGTGCAGTGGTTCTCAACCTTCCTTATTCACCGACCCTTTAAAACAGTTCCTCATGTTGTGGTGACCCCCAACCATAAAATTATTTTCGTTGCTACTTAATAACTGTAATTTTGCTACTGTTATGTCTTAGGCAACCCCTGGAAAAGGGTTGTTCGACCCCCAAAAGGGTCGCGGTCCACAGGTTGAGAACTGCTGCAAGCAAAAACTGAACCCGGGACTCTCTGGTCTACAGGTTGATGCTTTAACCGCTGAGCAAAACCAGCCAGGGCCTTATCCTAGCTTTTTACCTTGTCTTTCTACGAGTCCTTGTTATCTCCCAGATGTGCTTTACTGCCATTTCTGAATTGTCAGGTTTTATATAATACACATAATTACTTTGTCCCTTGATTTTATTTAAATTTTTAATTAATTTATTTTTGTTACAGATGTTTCTCCTTTTCCCTCATTTATACCCTCCTCCATGCTCCTGTACCCCCCTTCACAGTATTGTTGTCTATGTCCATTGGTTATCCTTATATGTATATAAGTTCTTTGGTTTATCTCTTCCCTCCCCTCCCACCCCCTTCCCTGTGAAGTTTGTCAGTTCCCTACTTCCTTGATTCTGGATCTCTTTTAATGGATAGCTTATTTTGTTCATTATGTTCCACAAATAAGTGAGATCATGTGGTACTTGTCTTTCTCAGACAGGCTTATTTTGCTCAGTACAATACTCTCCAGGTCCCTTTATGTCGTCTCAAAGGGTAAGAGATCTTTCTTCCTTACAGCTGCATGGTATCCCATTGTGTATATTGTACCACAAATTTTTTATCCACTCATCTATTGATGGACATTTTGGCTGTTTCTAGATCTTAGCTATTGTAAATGGTGCTTATGCGGCCATAATTCTTTTTTTTCTTCATATTTTTATAACTTATCTTCATTGTTGAATGTATTACAGATGTCCCCCATTTTTTCCCCTCCTCCCCAATCCCACCTCCGTCCTGCCTTCCCCACACTATTTTTGGAGTCCATTGGTTATGCATATATATGCATAAAAGTTATTTGGGATATTTCATCCTGCCCTTCCTCCCCTCTTCCCATTGAGGTTCACCAGTCTAACAACCAATTTTTACTTCTTATTTTTTGGTACGTGTCCATAGTGGGGACCAAACCCGGGACTCTCTGGTCTGCAGGCTGGCGCTCCAACTGCTCAGCCAAACCAGCTAGGGCCCAATTTGTACTTCTTAATACCTTCATCTTTTTCACCCATCCCCCCAGCCCCTGCCCATCTAGCAAGCAAAAAAAGTTCTCTGTATCTATGAGTCTGTTTCTGTTCTGCTTGCTCATTTTGTTTGCAGATTCAATTGTTGATAGATATGTATTAATTGCCCTTTTATTGTTCATATTTTTGTTCTTCTCCTTCAAGAAGACCCTTCAACATTTCATATAATCCTGGTTTAGTGGTGATGAATTCATTTAGCTTTTTCTCATCTGGGAAACTCTTGATACATACATTGATTCTAAATGATAACTTTGCAGGATAGAGTAATCTTGGTTGTAGGTCCTTGCTTTTCATCACCTTGAATATCCCTTGCCACTCCTTTCTGGCCTGCCAAGTTCTCTTGAAAAACCAACTGACAGTCTTATGGGAGCTCCTTTGTAGGTAACAAACTGCTTTTCTTTCATTGCTTGTAAGATTCTCTCTTTGTCTTTAACCTTTGGCATTTTGATGATGATGTGTCTTGGTGTGGACCTCTTTGGGTTCATCTTGTTTGGGACTCTCTGTGCTTCCTGGACTTGTAAGTCTGTTTCCTTCACCAAGTTATGGAAGCTTTCTGTCATTTTTTCAAATAGATTTTAAGTTTCTTGCTCGCTCCCTTCTCCTTTTGGCACCCCTATGATGTGAATATTGGCACGCTTGAAGTTTTCCTAGAGGCTCCTTACATTATCCTCATTTTTTTTGGATTCTTTTTTTCTGTTTGCTGTTCTGATGGGGTGTATTTTGATTACTTATATTCCAAATTGATGGCTTGCCTCTTGACTTCACCTACTGTACTATTGAATCTCTGTAAATTATTCTTTATTTTAATTAGTGCATCTTTCATTTCTGACTGGTCCTTTTTTATGTTGCTGCTGTTTTCACTAAGTTCCTTGGAGTTCTCCTTGAGTTCTTTGAGCATCCTTATAATGAGTGTTTTGAACTCTGCATCTGATTGATTGCTTGTCTCTATTTTGTTTAGATCTTTTTCAGAAGTTTTGTTTTTTTCTCTCATTTGGGATATGTTTCTTTCTTTTTCTTTCAATTTTTATTAATTTATTTTTTACGCAGGTTTCTCCTTTCCCCCCTAGAAAGCTGATGATTAGTGACGTTGAACATGTTTTCATATGTCTCTTGGAAACTTGCATGTCCTTTTTGGAGAGGTATCTATTTAGGTCATCTGCTGATTTTATTTTTCTCAATTTATAACTGCTTTTATTTGTTGGATCTTTTATTTGTTTGTTTGTTTATTTATTTATTTATTTATTTATTTATTTTTTATTAATCATTTAATTAGATTCTTTCTCTTCATTTTATTGAATTGTGTGAACACTCTGTATTTTTTGGAAATTTACCCTTATCTGATGTATCAATGTCAATTATGCTCTCCCATATAGTGGATTCCCTTTACATTTTCATGCTTGATTCTTTTTCTGTACAGAAGCCTTTAGTTGATGTAGTCCCATGTATTAATTTTTTTTCTTTGTTTCCCTTGGCTTAGGCATTGTATC